TGGGTAAATGGAGTAAACTAAATTAATTTAACTAAATTATCAGGGACTGTAACATCTAGTCCTTTTTACTGAATCGGCTGTCCCAACCCAAAAAAGAAGGGGGGCTAGTCCTGCCCAATATACAATATTATAGCATCTCTTTTGAAATAGCTAGATTAGGCAAACATTGCGCAGGGAAAAACAATATAGATTTGGATTTTAATAGAACAAGAGCTTGCATATCCAATCACACCAATTGATATTTTATCACAAAAAATAAATAATGAGGGTAAGATGCAAAACCCTATTTGGAAATTTTCAAAACAGTATGGTTGGAAGTGCATAAGAAATGTAAACTTATGCCATATGTACAGAAGTGTGCCCCCTTGTGGTATAATCCTAAAATTAAAATTGGTAAGCAGACAGTTTACTGGACACAATGGCTGAGAAGAGGTATCAGAACTGTTAGTGACCTATTTGAAGGGGAAGTTTTCATGTCATATGAGGATATTAAAAATAAGTTTTGTTTGGAGGGTAACGGTCATTTCTGGAAGTATTTGCAAATAAGAAACTGTTTAAAAGGAGGCGTTACAATAACACATGAAGGTAACCCGAGAGAGAATTTTATGTTACTACCCTTATTACTATGCAAAGCTGCAAAATGGTGTAATATTTGCCCATGGATTAAAAATAATATAAATAAGAGCCTGAAAAAAATAGGGATCTGGGGCGTACAGTGGATGAAGGTAGATGGGATTCTATATTGTCAAACAATGGATTATACATTAGGGAAGCCAGGGGGAAATTTATTCAGTACAAAATTCCTAATAGATATTATTATACTCCTTCAAGGCTGTATAGAATGGGGATTGGTAGAGAGGACTTGTGCTGCAAATGCCAACAAGCCAAAGGTACTCTGATACATGGCCTCTGGGAATGCCCGCTGGTTTTTCCAGTTTGGAACACTGTACTGAATTATTTGCAGGGGTGGACACTTTGTAACTTACCCAGATCACCTAAATGATGTCTGCTAGTAGACAAAGGAGAGGTGCTGCAATTAAATAAACACCAGTTTAGAGGGTTAAGCACTGCAGTGGTAACATGTGTCCGTGTCATTTTGGAACACTGGATGGACTTCGACGCTTAAAAGGATTGGGAACGTTGCATCAGGAAGCTTCAGTGGAACAGTGGGACAATTTCTGCACCTACATGTCTACCTGACTTGGACATTTGAGCTTAATGCAACAGACGTTGAAACCTCACTGTCTTTGTTTGTTTGTTTGTTTTTTGTTTGTTTTTTGTTTGTTTTTGTTTTTTGTTTGTTTGTTTGTTTTTTGTTTGTTTATTTTTTGTTTGCCTCTTGCTTTTGCTTGTTGCATTTTTGTATTTGTTGTTATAAAATGCAAAATCTAATAAATACTTTCATTATTAAAAAAACAGCAGAGGTGTTGATCACAGGTGTAAAGTATTAAAACAGGAATGCAGTATTAGTATTTATACTTGTGTCCCTCCAGCACAGAGTACTTTAAATCTCAGTGTACTTCAGCCTGGTGTTTAATGTCAGCACGTCTGATTGGTTCATGTTATTGACTGTTCATCTCTCTCTTTGTCAGACGACCATCCATCACCTGGAGGAGGCGGGGCTCAACGATCCCTGCATCATCTCCCCACTGAACATTGAGCAGACGGCGCCCTCTGCAGGCAAGAAAGGAAGCAGCTGCTCCTCCTCGGACGAGAGTGATGAGGAGAGTGAGACGGAGAGCACGGGCACAGGAGGGGCGTACACACAGCGGGCGGGCGCGAACCTCCTCTCCTCTTCATCCTCTTCATCATCATCTTTGATTCAGCCCAAACCACCGCCTGTTGTCTCCTCCAATCAGGA